GTCACGTGCTTCACATCATTTCTGTTACCGATCGAGAATTCATACAAAACGCAACTAGTAAACAAACGTTTGCCAAAACTCATATACTTAAAGAGTAACTACCTAAAACTACCTGAAGAAAAAAAAATCCTAAATAATTTAAATAATCTTAAAAATATATATTTTATGGACTTTTATTGCATTTTTTCAGCAGGCGGTGATCCCGAAATCCTGCCGCTTCCTTCACATCATTCCTGTCTCATATTTACACACAGAGCCGAGCAGCAAACCTCACTGTGTGCTCTTAAATAAACGCTCTAATCATATTCATAACACAGCATGATGAACATGGCCTCCACATCAAGCGAGAAGATATCAGGACCCAAGAAGAAAAGCGAGAAGAAGATTGCGTCCAAAGAGGAGTACAGGTTATTGTCCAACATCATGGGAGTGATGAATAATTTAAGGAAACAGGTGAATATCATCAGATATCTGACATAAGCATCATATAGCATGAGGTTCCTGACACATGCACGACATAATCTGAAACATTCATTATATAATACGAGAGATCATCTATGCATCATATAGTCTGATATCTGACATATCCATAATAAAATATGGGATATCTAACTGCGATATATTTTCATAATTACCATAAAGTTTGCTAGAAGTAATTTCTTACGTTAAACTGAAAATAGATAATAGGTAAATGTGTTTTGTGGAACGAGTTTTAATTTTATAATTTGTAAATAATTTACACAATTGTTAAATAATACAATGCTAATAAAAAAAGATAAATATTGTAACATAAAAAATATATATATTTTTATGTGTAAATTTTTTATTTATTTAATTTTCATGTCTCTTTAATTTCAATTGCTCTTTTTTTATTTTATTTCTGTTAATCACAAGATATCTTTCTGTGGGTTATTATTCCTGATATTATACATCTGATATTATATCTTGACACCTATATATATAGAGAAAATATAATTATTATATTATATAACTTAGTTTTAACTTGTAATTTTTAACTTATAACTATAATTTAACTTATAATTAACGTAGTTATTATAACTTAAAATATATTATATGGTGTTTTAGCTGGTTGTTAATGTGTTTGGGTGCTTGGTAAGGTGTTTGGGTTGTTGTTAGGTTTTGGGTGGTTGTTAAGGTGTTTTTGGGTTTTGGTTGTTTTCTAAGGTGTTTGGGTAGTTGCTAGTTGGTGATTAAGGTGTTCTTGTTGGTTGTTAGTGTGTTTTGGGTGGTTGTAAGTTGGTTATTGCGGTCTTCTGGGTGGTTGTTAAGGTGCTCTGGGGGTTTCTAAGGTTTTTGGGTGTTTGTTAAGGCGTTTTGGGTGATTGTTAGGTTTTGGGTGGTTGTTAAGGTGTTTGGGTTGTTGTTAGGTTTTGGGAGTTTTCTAAGGTGTTTGGGTAGTTGTTATTTGGTGATTAAGGTGTTCTTGTTGGTTGTTAGTGTGTTTTGGGTGGTTGTTAGTTGGTTATTGCGGTGTTCTGGGTGGTTGTTAAGGTGTTCTGGTGGTTTCTAAGGTGTTTGGGTGCTTGTTAGGTGGTTCCTAAGGTGTTCTGAGTGGTCGTTAAGGTTTTTTTGGGTTCCCGCCTAGGACGACACCTGCCAAAAAGGAAATTTGTTTCAGAGCTAGAGTTTTTGATCACAAAGACAAAATATTTTTTATTTGGTATAATGTGCACTAATGAATAATTCACAGTAAGAGTGGGAACATAAACAGATAATTGTGGTTTCCTGTTGACTCTAAATGATGGTAAACTCTGTTTTCCCCAGAGGGCCAGTGCTGTTCCCTTCCGGGAGGAGTCACATTAACTGCTAAAAGTCCAGTGCGGTCTTACACGTGCCTCCCAAAGGTGAAACTTGTTGTGACAGCAGCTTGACCAACATGCAGTTGCATCATTTTGCCTGTGGATAAAATGCCACTTTATTATTCTTATTATCTTGTGTTTTTTCTCTTCTCCCATCATAATGAGCCCAGGCTCTCTTTAGGAATGGAGATCTGTAAATGGAGCGGTTGTAGTTGGTGGAGCAATCCTTCTGTTTGCTTTCATGTGGGATCCAGGCAGCTTGTTAGAGGAAGGCTTTCACAGTTTCCCAGCCATGCAATCTGGCAGCGAGCACGGTGACGGCTGTTGCACGCCGGAGAGGTGATGTGTGAAAAACACAGAAATAACATCCAGCTCACAGCGACTCCCAGTCCGCAGCTCACCGGCACAATAACGCGCCCATTTGCTTTCCAACAATTGAAGAAGTCTTTTGGTAATTAATTTCTGCCGGCGCAGGCCTGCACGCCTCATTGAGGGCGGATTTGGCCCTGTGTCTCTTCTATGAGTCTGTATTTGTTTAATTATGTTATAGGAGGGCAGAACGCCATGACTGAGTGAGAGCTCAGAAACAACTGCTGTAAATGAGTTTCATGGGAGATGAAATCTATCTATCTATCTGTCTGGTTCTGCAGGTTCTGTCCTCATTCTCTTTTTTGGCTCTTTGCATTTTAGGCCTGAAATAAAGAGAAACTCTCAGTTTTTGAGGAATGATTTGCTGCCTGATGGGAATCGACTTTATAAAAAGATAAGGAGGAAAATCCCCTTTAAAGCGCAGATGACAACAAAAACTCCCACAGATGGGAATCAATAGGACGACGGGGCGTTTTTCTCGTCCAGCTCAGAGGTTCAAAGCGAGCGCTTCTACTCGAGCTGCTGTTGCCTTCAGCTGCAATAAAACCATATTATATCAGACATATCTGATATATTCATCTTATAATATGCAGTTATAATATGCATCACACAATCTGAGATATCTGACATGCATAATAAAATATGGAATATCTCACATGATGTGCATCAATAATGTCTTACAATAAACTGAAAATAAGATGACAGGTAAATTTATGTTTACTATATTTAATTGTAAAAAAAAATTTAAATAAATATTTTCAATTTTTTATTTATTTGTCCTGGCATTTATTCTTATTTTCATGTCTGTTAAATTTCTATTTCTCATTTTTTCTGTTTTATTTCTATTAATCACAAGATAACTCTATATTTATGTGGGTAATTATTGCTATAAAGATTATAAATCTGATATTATATCTAACATCTGATATATTCATCATATAATATGAGATATCTAACATAATATAATATGAGATCTGACATATGCATCACATAATCTGAGATAGCTGAAAAATGCATATAAAAGTGATATCTGACATATGCATCATGTGGTCTGTGGGAATCAATAGGACGACGGGGCGTTTTTCTCATCCAGCTCAGAGGTTCAAAGCGAGCGCTTCTACTCGAGCTGCTGTTGCCTTCAGCTGTAATAAAACCGCAGAGACAGATGGAAAAAACACTGAAAATATGTGTGTGTTCGGCTTTCCTCTTCAGCCTCCAAAACTGCAAGAAGAGGTCGCTTCAATTGCTTTGTCCTCTTCTCCATCTCTTTCTATTTCAATGCCTTTTTGAGAGACCGCGTGAGCCATTGAATATCGACACACAGTATTTGGCTGCCAAAAGGTGTGAATGTTTTTACTGTGGATTGGATTTAATCTGAATATATTTGCATAAATTAAAGGGAAACATGAAAAAGCTAAATCACTTGAATGTAGTCTACTCTCTCTCTTTTTTTTTTTTTATCCTCTTATGTTTGAATGCCTGACGAAAGTCACATGACCAAAACATTATCTCAACAAATATTGGATTTTGAGCAACAGTGCATGATTTTTTTCTATTTCCTATTATTTGCTTTTAATTTCCTTTGAACAAATAAACCCATTATAAAACAGTCATGATTACATGCACATAGCACATGTTTGGTTACATATTTGAAAGTTATTTTATAATAGAAAATCTCTATCATTTCTGCACTTATTTATTTTAATATTTTATTCTTATTTTTTGCAGAGTTGCTCTCTCTCTCTCTCTCTCTCCCCGTCTCTCTATATATTTTGTATTTACAGTATTTCACCTCTTTTAATAGTTTCATTATATATAGGTAATTATTGCTATAAAGATTATAAATCTGATATTATATCTAACATCTGATATATTCATCATATAATATGAGATATCTAACATAATATAATATGAGATCTGACATATGCATCACATAATCTGAGATAGCTGAAAAATGCATATAAAAGTGATATCTGACATATGCATCATGTGGTCTGTGAAATCTTTACATTAAAATTTACTAAAAGTAATGTCTAACAATAAACTGAAAATAGACAATAGATAAATGTATATATTTATATGTAAAACAATTTTAAACAACATTTACATGTTATAAATAATAAAATATTTTAAATATTTATATTTATTAATTTGTCTCGCAAGTTATTTTATTTTCATGTTTTATTTTTTTAGTTAATGTCTGTTTAATTTAGATGTTTCTTTTTTTCTATTTTATTTCTATTAAATCACAAGATAATTATATATTTCTGTGGGTTATTATTGCTGATATTACATGTTTACTATATTTATTTGTAAAACAATTTTAAACAACATTTTACATGTTTTAAATAACAAAATATTTATGTATTATTTATTTAATACTGATAATAGTTAAGTATTTAATAAATAATAAAAAAAATATTTATTTAATATTTATATATTTAAAATTATTTTATATTATTATACATTTAATATATTTTATTTATGTGAATGCCTGTTTCTCTTTTGTGTTTTATTTCAGTTAATCACAAGATAATTATATATTTCTCTGTGTTATTATTGTCGATCTTATAAATCTGATATGATAAAAAATAATGTTACATGTGATTTTTTAAATCTGTGATCACATTAAAGCTCCAATATAAAATTTGACAAGCTTCATGTGAAATAACGTTATAATTTACAGTTAATTATGCTTACAGTAGTAGAAACCGCTATACAGTGGGTACGGAAAGTATTCAGACCCCCTTAAATTTTTCACTCTTTGTTATATTGCAGCCATTTGCTAAAATCATTTAAGTTAATACTTCACAGACGTCTACAAGATGGACGAGTTTCTTCAGCTGGACGTGAAACAGGTGACGCACCTGCTCCAGCAGGACACGCTGACCGTCCGAGCCGAAGACCAGGTGACAGTACACGGGCCGCCCTGACGGCTGGAAACTCAACTACTGTACGTTTACTGAGGTGAATAACGTGTTTCTGTGCGACTGTGCAGATCTACGACGCAGCGGTGCGGTGGCTGAAGTACGACGTCTTGAATCGACAGCAGTACATGGTAGACATTCTGGGGAAGGTTCGATTCCCCCTCGTATCCAAAAACTTCCTCAGTAAGACCGTTCAAGCCGAACCGCTGATCCAGGACAACCCCGAGTGCCTGAAAATGGTCATCTGTGAGTTACTGACACCTGACCACTAAAAACTCACGTGTGATAGACAATCAGTCTTTTATTAAACCATTTTCTAAATTTTTTAAAGGGGTCATCGGATGCCCATTTTCTACAAGTTGATATGATTCTTTAGGGTCATTAGTCTCGCGTAGCCAGACCTTCAGACTGACGGCTGAAGGTCTGGAATCCATGGCAGCTTTCATTGGCCAAGGCCCGCCCATGAGGCCGTTTGACCGACATGTCAAACAACCAATTAGAGGTGCTTTATTCTTATTGACCACCGGTACAGCTTGCGCTCAGGACTGTGCGGAGCATGTGCATAATGCTCAGAGCAGGCTGTACCTGTGGGAAATATATACGGCCCTCAGACAGAACAGGTGGATGCGCTGTCCTTGAAGGACGTTCAACTCTGTTTTGTTTATATTTTGCTTAGCCTATAATTTTAAATGAAAGATGTCGTATTTATTTATTTCTCTCTGCGACACTTTTCCTACTGTGTTAACAGAAAAATGTCAAACGTCCACTTTTGTGTGCCATATGCATCAGACGTTTAGCCAACGGTCCGTGGGCGTGACATCTAAGGCTGAGACTATAGGGTCATAATGAAAAGTCTATACCATACTTTGGTTAACATTTCTCAATGGTAGTGTAAAACAACACAGTTTTTACCTTGTCAACAGTTCTGTTGCCAGTTCTGTTCATAGCGACCCGTTTCGGTGCATGTCCCTTTAAATGCTAATGAGCTCTGCTCACCCCGCCTCTCTCTCTCTGTTTACTTTAGCCGCATTTAGCCGCGGAACTTGCTAACTTGCACATTATTAGGAAAGGCGATTTGCAAAGATTCATAAAAGAGCCTTACACTCACTTCTTCTGGAGGTGAGGCTGATCACGAATGATTCTCACACACATAGATGCATTTAGGCAGATCGGGGGCGCATTCCCTTCAAAAGCCAAAGTAATCCACTGCGTCTTCAGCGGCTCAGATGTCGACAGGGGCGGCGCCAGAGAATTTTGAACGCAGGTGCTGAGGGGGTGCTAGATAAATGACAGGGTGAGCTGGGCAATTAATAGTAAATATGACCAAAACAGGTTGTTGTTATTATTATTATTTTTTTATATGAATAATAAAATCGCTATATAGGTGCATTTCAAATGTTTATGAGGAGTGTGGGAGTATTATCACGCTAACTGCATGACATGGGGGCGCCCACGCAATCTTTTTTTTTTTCCTGCAGAAAGAACTTAAAATACTCCCGTGATTTTTGGATGTGCTTTCTGTCGTCTCATGCAGTCTCTGTGAATGGAGCGCGCCGCAACAATAAACCAGCTCACAGACATAAGTAATAAATCTGCAGAAAGCTTGAAAACCAATTAAAATAAAAAACAAATATTTTCTGATTATGTAGTCCGTATAGATGCATTTCTCTATTAAAGGCACGTCCATTACTATGGAGATGGCGAGTCAGCGCCGGTGTAGTACCGAAATTTGCACCCTGCCAGATTATGCACCCCCTAGTATTGGTAGGTTAAGGGTTAGGTGTGGGGGAGGGGTTAGGATTAGGGGTGGGGCTGGGATTAGGCAATCAGGTAGCGACTTCAACGAGGGGGTGCATAATCTGGCAGGGGTGCAGAATTCGGCACAACACCGGCATTCGGCAACTTCAACTTTGAAGTCGACACTGACTGAGAAAGCACTAGTTTATTAATAAATAATTAAAATGTCTTCTTTTTCACAGATGCATTCGTAATGCATTCATAATCTTTGCGGCAAGTTTGAGCGCGGAATAGGCTATAATACGCCTAAATGCCTATATTAAAGGATGGTTTAGTAGGTTATTATTAGGGCTGCCCCCTAATAGTCGACTAATCGTTAGTCGACCAGAAGAGGCTTGGTCGACCAAAATTTTATTAGTCGCTTAGTCGCAGAACAAAATAAAATCCACAGGCGAAGTCGCGCAGTCCGTGACTAACAGATCATTAATGGCTAGTCTTTGGTAATACAGTACTCGGGCAGGACATCCAAACGCTCGCCAATCATTCATCGACCTCAAATAATGGCTTATCATCTGAAATATGTAAGTATTAGCAACTTTACATGACTACTTAATCTAATGTTAACCTACATAAATGTCTGCTATTCAAGTGTCTGTGGAAGCTGAACAGTTGCGCTTACTGCAGGACAGATGGAGGCGCCGGTGCGCTCACTTGCTCTTAAAATAATCCCTCATTTTTGCTCATACAGATAAGAGTTATACATCTTTCAAATTTGTAAAGACTCTACGTTTATTTGTGTGCACTCACAATA